GGGGCAGGGCGCCGCGGGGGCTGCCACGCACGTCGGGCCCCTGGCCGGCAGCACGCCACGCGCTCGGCGTGGCACAGGTGCGGGCCCTGGGAGGGGCCCAGTCGCGGGGAGGCCCGCAAGGCGGTGCGCATTGCGGAATCGCCACTTCGGCGTCCGGGCCCCGGCGAGCCAAGCCCCCCTCCTCCGATGTCCCCGGGAGAAGCAGCCCATGGCAAATCCGCCGATCGGCGCAAGGAGCAGGACCACCAACGGGCTCCGGCCGGCGGGAGGGCGCTCGAGGTTGCGCCGGCTCGGCGAAAGCCCAGTCGCAGGTGGTTTGGCACGGCGGGCCAGCAGGCCGGGACGGGGCACCACTCGTGGGCGAGGGGGTCGAGCCAGGGTGGCGAAAAGAGGGCAGCCGCCTGACGTCCCAGCCGGCCCGGCCCGTGGTGGGGGTACTTGCCACGCACCCCGAGCGAGGCGGCATGTCGGCGAGCCAGCCGGCCGGCATGCGAGCCGACGCACTCGATGTCGGGGACGGCGATGTCCGCGGAGTGGCCCGGCTCCGGACCGGGCATTGGCCGGGGGCGGGGAGGCGCCACTTTTGAGCGGGCCCCTGAGGCAGAGGGCCGGCGGAACGGACACACCCAGAGAAGGCCGCCAGATGGCGCAGCCTGCCACGGGGCATGGGCCGGGCACACATGGACAGGCAGCAGGGAGCGAGGGGCGGGGCATGCCCTGGGCGAGGGGACGGGGGCGACTGGGCCAGCACCCGCCGGAGAGGGGGGCGACTGGGTCAGCACCCGCTGGAGAGGGGGGCGACTGGGCCAGCACCCGCTGGAGAGGTGGGCGCCCAGCCACTGGGCCGGGGGAGGAGGGGGGCACGTGAGCCGGCCCGCAGGGCCAGTCTCACCGAGGGGGTGGCTTTCTCGAGCGAGCCGCCTGGCTGGAAGATGGCCAGGCTGTGCGAGGACACGGCTGTCCTGCCACAGCAAGGCCGTAGCTGGGGGGGACGAGGGGGCTGGAGCAAGCCCGGCGCGCAGGTGTCACCGCTCTTCCCAAGTGTCGGCTTGGAGGTGAGCATGTGGAGGCCGCGCGGCCGGCCGGGAAGTCCCCGGCGGAAAGGATGTGCTCGCCGCCGAGCGGTCGAGGTGCGGAAGCCGGGCTGGTGGCATTGGGCGACATGGGGCCGAGCCGGGGCAAGTGGCCGCCGAGAACAATGCACCCCTGGGCGCCCTCCGATCAAGTCGCCGAGACCGGCACCGGGAAGGACCCCGGCTGTCGGACAGCAAGCGAGGCATGCCATGCGCGCGGGAGTGCCGCGTGATGGGCCTGTCATGGCCAGGGGGTCGCAGCTCCACAGGGCGGACGGGATGCCGGCCGGGGGGGGGGGCCGCGCTCCGGCTGGGGCCCAAGAGGCCAGCTGAGCAGGCCCGGGCGGCGCCCATGGTTGGCGAGCAGCCGGTCGAAGGCACGCGGCGTGGAGCTAACAAAAAGTGGCCAGGGGTGTGTGTGTCAGGAACATCCGGAGACAGGCAGGAGGGGGATGGGGCACATGGAAGGGGGAGCAAGGGGGGGGGGGGGACAAGCGCACGCTGGGCCGGAGCCATCAGACCGGGGTCGGCCATGCACCTGGCCCGGAAGTCGGGCTTTTGAACCAGGGCGAGGTGCCGGCAGGTCGGTCGGTCGACAAGACATGCGCTCAGGCGTGGGACGTTGAAGGCCAGCAGCGGCCCTCATGCCGGCCGGGGGAAGGTGCTTGTCGAAGGGTCTGCACATGCGTCCGGGCGCCCGGGCAGGAGGAGAGCTGTTGCGAGTGCCGACTGCCGGGGCCGCATGGACCGCAGGGTGGCTGGGAAAGCCCCCCGCTTGGGGGGGGTGCCGACCTGCGGCCAGGGCATCCGAACGTGCTCAAGGGGGGGGAGGCACCCGTCGCAGGGACCGGACGCTGATCGACGGGCAACAAGGGGGTCGCCGCGGTCGGGGAGGGGCATGCAGCAGCCCGGGGGGTCAGGCGCGCAAGCCACATGCCACGCCTCTCCGGGCGGATGGCTGCCCAGGGCAACCGCGGCAGACCGGCGTCCAGGAGGGGCAAGGTGTTTGACATGGCGCACGCGCGCAGGGGCACCGGCCAGTGCGGGGACGCGCACACGGCGGCCACGGAGTCGGACTGGACCAGCTGCATGTGGGCGGGCATGCGCCGCGGTGCGCAAACTGGCAGGAGGCGCCGACGGCCCCAGGCAGGTCGGCCTCCCTGGCGGGCATGGGCGCGCCATGCTGGCACCCGCGAGCAGGGGGCCGCTCACACGGGCACCAGGCGGGGAGCCCCTGGTGATGTGCATCGCTCGGGAAGGGCGAGCGGCGAGCGACGGGCGGCGAGGGCGTGCCGATGGTGGGTGGCGGGGTCCACCCCAACCAAAAGAATGATCGCGGCTGAGAGACGAGCCCCGGCAAAGAGAGGCGGCCGCACTCAGCCCGGGGGCTGGGGGGGAGGGGCGCGAAAGGGGGCCCCGCCGGGCTCGCAGCCGGCCATGCCGCGTGCCGGCACGCCGAGGCCAGCCACCGGGGCACTGAGGGCAAGACGGCTGGGCTGAGAGGGCCGAGGGGACAACGGTCGGCGATGAGCCGACATCGTGGAGGCAGGCCAGGAAGGGGGGGGGAGGGAGCCAAAGGAGGAGCAGCGAGAGGAGGGCGGGCGAGGGAGCGGGGTGCCGCGCCTGGGGCAGGCACACTCGCGAGGCGGCGGCACATCAAGCGGCGTTCGCCGGCCGGCGGCGGGGGCGGCGGCCCGGCGGCGCGGTCCCGACGGCGCACCCAACACGGCATCCCCGGGCCACCGTCGGCCGGGGCCGCGCACACACACACACACGCGTGCCCCCTGTCTCCGCGGTCGAGCGGCCACCGGCTTGGTGGATGCCCGGGCGCGACGCCTGCCCGGGGGACCCTTGGCGAGGCCGGCGGCATGTCGGCCGGCATCGCGCCCTGCCGCCCGCAGGTCTGTGGCGTGACCATTCCCGAGCAGCACGTGCACTGGCACCAGCAGTCTGGACATCTAGAACTACCTTGAGACATCGCTGGCCCCGGCTGTCGGCCGGCGGGTGCTGTTGGCAGTGGACGGCGGCCCGATGGCCCGGCATCGCGCGGTCCGATGCATAACTTGAGGGCCTCCCCCCGCAGCGGTGTGGGCTTGTGTTTGCCTGGACCAGGCCCCCCGGGGGCATCTGCCGGCCGGGCGCACGTCAAATGGTGGCGGCCAGCGCGCGCCGTCGGACATGGCCGTGGTGCGCCCCCTCCGGAGGCCGGCCTGGGGGCAGTGCATCTGGCCGGGAGCCGCCCTGGCGGACTTCGCTCTTTGGCGGGCGCCGGGGCATGATACCCGAGCCGCGGGCGACGCGCGACCGGGGGCCGGCCTCGGTGGCCGGGACCCGGGCGCCGTCCTTCACGAAAGGGACCTGCCCTGCCGGTGCTGCGGTCGGCCCGTGCGGCCGCCGGGCGAGGAGGGCCTGAGTGCAGGGCCCAGGCCGAGGATGTGGGGGCATGGGCGCCGGCCGGCAGCGGGCAGGGTGCATGTCGTCGGCCCGACGGCGTGCACGGGGCCCCATGTCCCGGCGCTGCTGGCGCCAGACCGGGGCCCGGGCAGTCCGCCCCGTCTCGCGCCCCGGTCGCCCCTGTGGCACGGCCGCGCGCGCGCGCGCGCGCGCGAACACAGCCACGCATCCCACATGGTTATGGGGGCGCATCAGACATCGGGGCCGGTTGATCTGTGCCGCCAGGCGCCGCTGGCAGCCAGGCCCCGTGGTGGCAAAAGTGCCGCCCGGATCCGCGTCCCCGCCTCGGGGGGCCCCGGCGCCTCTGCCCCGGGGGTGGTGCGTTCGTCGCCTGCGCCAAGGGTGCCCGATCATCTTGCGCCGCCTCAGGCGGGCCTGCGCCCCCATCGTGGCCGTAGGCCCGAGAGCGGCCGACAAAGAGGCGCCCGTGGCGCGCCCCTCGATGCGGGTCTCCGGGCGCGGCCGAGGGATCCCCCCCGGCGCCGGGAGGACGGCGGAAGTCCCGCGTGACCACCCGCCATGCTGCACCTCGGCGTGGTATCAGCTCCTCGAGGGGGCCGGCATGGCCCGGGCAGGGCCTGGTGCGGGCGGCGAGCGCGCGGCCCGCAGCCCCATGTACATAGGTGTGTGTGTGTGTGTGGCGGGAAGTTAAACACTCGCTGCGGGGAGAGGGCCAATGCTCGGATGTGAAGAGAAGATAGTCCGCGGCGTCGCACCCCCTCTTCCGGGGGGGGGGGGGGGGGGGGCAGGGGGCGCCCCCGATGAAGCGGCGGCAGAATGATGTCCCCCGCCCCGGGCCCCCTTTTTTGCCGCTGATTGTGGGGCGCCCTGCGCACGGGCGTCCTCCCCCAGCGCGCGGGACGCGTGCCGGGCCTGTACAGGTGCGGCTGAGCGGGGCGCTTTTTTTTTCTTGGCCAGGGGGGGGCAGTGGCTCTCGGTGCCTTGGGTTCTTCGCGAGCATGGCGGCGGTCCACCCGGATGACCGGACGCGCTGGGGCCGCCAGGCCCCCCTGGCGCCCCGGCCCGCCCCACAAGGCGTGGCCCGGGGAGGGCCCCGGCGGTCATCCGGGACCGCCCTTGTCGTACGCGGGCGAAACAATCCACCTCAGATGGAGCTACTGTCGACCCCCGCCCCCCTCCTCCCCTCGGACCCCGGGGCACGGTAGATCATAGCTCCGCCCCCCGTCTGTCCCCCCATCGGGGACGGAGGAGCGCAGGCTGGGGGCCCCCCTCCGGTGCCGGGCATTAACTCCACTATGACACGTTAATTAGATCAAGGGGGCCTAGATGCGTTTAATCCGGCGTGCCGGCAGGCAGGGCACGCGCGCTGGGGGGCCCCAGGAAAAAGCCCAGATCCCCTGGGAGAGGGCGAGCAGGCCGCGCGGCCCAGAAAGTTGGGCCCCGGGGGAGACGAGCCGGAGCCAGCCGGCCCGGGAGCACCCTCGCTGCCTCTGCCCGACCAACGGGCATGGCGGGCGGGTCTCTCCGGCCAACCGCGGCTGGCGGGCCGACCGGGGCGGCCGCCGTGCCCGACTGCGGTGGCGCGACCCGGCCCCGGGCCCCAACGCGCTGGCCAGGCCACCACCTCGAGGGGAGGCCGGGGACCCGGCTGCACGGCGTTGTCACCATCCCCCCGGACCCCGGACGCAGGGGCAGGACGGGGGGGGGATGACGAGGCCTGCTGCTTGGGCTAGTCGGGCGCCATGCCGGCAGGGCTGTGCCACACGCGCGGACGCTGCCTTGGGAACACAGGCGGGCCAATGTTTACCGGGCCGGGCGCGGGCTCGGGCCAATCGGGCCCCCTTGCCCGGAGAGCAGACGGGAAGATTGCCGGGCGTCAGCCTTCGCGCCCTGCGGGGGGGGCCCGGGCGAGGGGGCCCGGGCGAGGGGGCCGACGCTCGTATGATGAGGGGGGGGGGTGTCATGCGCCCCCGTCCCCCCTCCCCCTGCTCGCTGTCTCTCGGCCACTGGGGCCCCTGGGCTGGTGGGTGCGCTGGTGTTGCGAGGTGCCAAGACCAGGCGGGGGGGGAGGGCCTAGCCTGGGAGAGTGGGCCCGGATAAGGGCCTCGCCGCCCTGAGCCGGTGCGTGTTGCCGGGCCCGGATGCCGGCGGCCCAGGGAGGCTGCAGGGCGGCGAGCACCATCGGTGTGACCGGGGGCATGCGCGTCCCGGGTGTGCATATCGGGGGGAGGAGCACGCGCGGGCGCGACGGAGCCGTGCCGTAGGTGTGCGCCGGCCCGGTGCCGGCGGCAGGGGCGCCGGACGAGCACATGGCCGGCGGCCGGCGCGCTCCCGTGCTCCGGCCGGCCAGATGCCGAGGCAGGCCGGCACCCGGCGGCGGGAGGAGCCCCGGGCCAGGACAGCCCACAGGTGGCCGGACCCGGGAGTGACCGAACGCGATGCCGAGCCCGGGGGGAGCCCGCTGGCGGGCGGGGCAGTAGCTCCGGCAGGCATCCGCCGCACGGCCGGGCGGGGCGGGGCCGGCCGCACCTGCCTGCAGGCTGCGGCCCTATAAAAGCCGGCCCTTTTGGCGGCCAGGTACCGAGGGCTCTTCAGACAACGCCATCCGCCATCCGTCCCTCCTGTCCCCCGTCTCTCCGGTGCGTTTGCTCCTCCTCCGCGGTCCCCTGCCGGGGGCCCCTTTCCGCCTTCCACATGCCCCGGCCGAGGGCTGCCTCGGAGCGACGCCCCTGTGCCTGATCGGGCGTGCGCCATGGCCGCAGGCCGGACCCGGGCCGGGGCCGCGAGCGCGCGCCGGCCGATGGCCAAGCACACGGCCGGACAGTGGCGCGCACCGGGCCCGGCGGAGGGAGTCCCCCAGGGCGGCGGCGGTTGCATTTTTCTGCCTGCCTGTTTTGTCGCCCCATGACCGCGGAAAGGGGCAGTGTGCTGACACCGTGTGCCATCAGACCCTCCCCCGCCCTGTCTACGCCCCCCTCGCGCGGCCCCTTCGCCCCTACCCCGTCCACCATGTCCACTCGCAAGAACGCCAACCAGACCCAGTCGCCCGGTCGCGGCCAGGAGGCCGAGCACCAGCGCCAGAGCACCTCGCACAGCCGCGACCACTCGAGCTCCGCCTCGAGCAGCAGCCAGTCGCATGGCAGCCGCAGCCCGGGGTCCCAGGACTCGCGCACGCGCTCCCACTCGGGCACCGGGTCGGCGCACGCCAGCGGCGGCCACGGGCATGAGCAGCAGAACCGCGACGCCCAGGGCCGCTTCACCAGCCAGGAGGAGCACTCGACCAGCCGCCAGGGCCAGGGCCACGCCCAGCAGAACCGCGATGCCCAGGGCCGCTTCGTCAGCCAGGACGAGCATGCCACCAGCTCGGGCCAGCACCACCACCAGGGCGAGCTGGCTCGCGATGCCCAGGGCCGCTTCATCAGCCAGGATGAGCACGCCAGCAAGTAAGCCGGCCGCGCGTCTGCCGGCGTGCGGGGCACGCGCTCCACGGTATGGCGGCCTGCCCCCGGGCGAGGCACACACACGCACACACACGCACACACACGCACACACACCGTGCGCGCTCTGTCGGCCTGCGTGCCCGGCGCGCGCCGCGGGCACATGCTCTCTGCCCGGGCCCCCGTGGCTCTTCCTCTCGCCCTCCTCCTTGGCGCCATGCCCGCGCTCCGGCGGGGGGTGCCATGTGAGGCGGAGGTGTGCACACAGGCCCCGAGAAGCGCCAATTCCCCCCGCTATGTGTCGGCCCGCGGGTGCGGGGGAGAGCAGCCGCCAAGGAGGCCGGGAAGACTGTGAGACCCGGCCGCTGCGGTGCGCCATGTATATGAGCAGACCGACGCACGGGGAGCCCCACTGCGGGTGGGGCACGCGCTCGCGCGCCACCCCCGGCACCATCCGCCGTTCTTCGGGACCGCGCGGGCGGAGCCGGGCGGGGCCGGGCGTCGGCGGCACAAAACCCCCCTGTGCGGGGCCGCGGAAAATAGACATGCGCGCATCTGAACATACACCAGAGACGGGAAGCGAGTCTTTTCGGGGGAAAGAGGGGGGGAGGTTGTCTTGTGCCTGCGCGCACTTCCACCTGGCGGGGAAGGGACATGGCGGCACGACGAGGCGGGGGAGGGCCTCGGCCCATGGGGAGGGAGCGGCGTGCCGCGGACCGAGGGGGGGGAGGGGTACATGACCAGGGGCTGGCCGCGCGCGCCTGATGCGCCGGGCTGGAGGGGCTGCGCATGGGAGAAGCCACACGCCATTGCACGGCCAAGCGACCCGGGGGGGAGGGCAGTCACTGACCCACGCAGGCAGACGCTCCTCCGGCCAGCCAGAACCAGCCCCCGCCCGGGCATGATACGTCGTACGGGGGGGGGGGCGGCCGGCAGCAGGGGCCGGCGAGGGCCCTCGCCCATCGAGGGCGACCCCGAGGCGCCGGGAAGCCCGGGTCGACAGATGCCCGTGGGCGCGGCGACGCACCGGGCGCGCGGCATGGGGCGGACGCGACCCGCTGCCGTTGGGTGGCCCCAGGCACGCAAGATCGGGCGGGCGCTGGATGTTTCCACCGACCTAGGGCCTCGCCGTTTGGGCCCTCGCGCTGGCACGGCGACGGCGCGGGAAGGGCAGCAAGGAGCCCGGCCCGGAGAAGGCACGCGGAGGACTCCAAGCGGAAGGGGCGGTGCACCGGCCGGCAGCGCACGCTCCCATGGCGCCGGAGGGCGGGGGGGGGGCATGTACCATCGCGAGGCGCCTGGCCCGGGGCCGGGCCGGGGCCGCTGCCCGCCCCCTAGTGGGCCTGCCGCAGCAGGTGCATGACCAGGTCCTGGTGCTGCTGGCCCAGGGTATTGATGCATGCCAAGACCGGGGGGGTGCCGACCTGGCGCGACCACTCGCAGGTCACCGTATACCGGTTGAAGCCGACCCAGGCTCTGGTGCAGAACTTGCACACCGGCACCGGCGGCAGGGGGGGCATGCGGCCGGCTTGAACATGCGCCAGGGCCTCCTGCTCGTGGGCCTCACGCCGCCGGAAGGCCGCCCTGGCCTTGGACATCTGGACATAGAGGTACTGGCGTGCGGCCGGGCGAAGGGATCGGGGGGTGAGACACGGCCGGGGGCCGGCCACGAGGGCGCACGTGGCGAAGGGGCAGGCAGGCGCATGGTGCCGGGCGAAGCGCGGCGGGGGGGGGGGGGGCGGACGGCCCCCGGGCCCCGGGCCGGAGCACGCCCGCACAGGAAACGCACCAACGAGAGGGCAGGCCCGATTGCGATGGTGATGGTCCCGATGATGAGCATGGCCAGGTCGGCCGCGGTGCCGGCTGATCCGGGCGCGGCCACCGGGGCGGGGGCGCAGACCGGGGGGCGGGAGGCGGGGGCGGACAGGCACGGGCGTTAAACGGGCTGGGCGGGGGGGGCGGCCGGCAAAGGGCGGCACCGCGGCCGGGGGACGCACAGAAGCCGAGGAACAGGAAACCCAGGCCGACGGCCGGGAAGAGGATGCACTGTTGGCCGACGTGGGGTCAGAAGGGGGAGGGGGTTCGGGCGCGCGGGGCGGCCGCAGGCGGCCAGGGCAGGCGCGTACCGCGGCGATGGGCGTCCTGGGGTTGTAGTTTTGGACGACCGGCGGGACGGGAAGCGGCTTGGAGCCGGCGCCGGCAGGGAGGGGAGGGGGGGCGTGTCAGACCGGCTCTCGGGCAGGCGGGCAGGAGCACGGGGGGCGCGAGAGGGCGCGGGGTACCGCCTGGTAGTAGGTCATGTAGTCCTGGAAGTTGGTGTAGGGCACACGCTCCGGGACCCAGATGTCGCACTCGAACTCCGGCGAGTAGACGACGCCCAGCATGGCCGGCTGCGTCACGACGGGGTCCGCGTCGGGCCGCGCGCCGTAGGTGGATTTGTAGTCCGGGGGCCGGAGGCTATAGGGCGGGGGCGCGCCCGACGCCTCGCGGCCGAGGACCGGTATCTCCATGGCCGGGCCTGGGCAGGGAGCCAACAGGGGAGCGGAGTCGCCGTGGGGCATCCTCCGGGCAGGCGGGACGAGGGGCGGGAGGGCGAAAGGCGGGGGGAGGGGGCGGGAACGGGGGGGGGGGGGGGACTGTCGATACTCCCCCGCCCCCCGGGAGCCGCGGCGCGCGCCGGGGCATCGCTTAGGTGTGTTGTCGAACCATGAGTTGGCATCTGGCCGGGGCGGCGTGTGCGGTCCGCGGCTTGCTCGCACATGTCAGGGAGCATGGTACCGATGGCGCGCCTGCCGGTCGGCATGGGGTCGCTGTCTGCTCTCAGCTGCCCGGGTGCCGCGAGCCCCCGGGCGCGCCGCCCGGCCGGCGGGCACTCGGGTACGGGAGGATCCGGCGGTCGCTGGGGGCCTGTGCGGGGTGTGCGCGCGCGCGCGCGTCAGGGAGATGGGCGCCCCTTCGGGCTGGGCATGGTGCCGCCGCGGGCTGCGACGTGCTCGGGCGCGAGCCCGGCCGCGCCGAGCGCCCAGGACGCCGGGCCCAGCCCCTCCGAACCGAGATCCGGCCTCCGCCGGCCGAGGGAGCATCCCGGCCACCGTGCAGTTGTCTTCCCCCAGCTCGGGGGGTGCTTGAGCTCCCACGCCCACGGCCACCCGCGCGGAGGAGGGCCGGCCCGGCACGCGCCCCTCGGCCGGAGCACTGCCGCGGGGGGGGCGGGGGGGACTGGCCACCTCGGCTCCGGGCAGCCCCGGCCCTGGTGCCGGGCACCGGTCGGGCGCCATGCCCAGCATCGGGGGGGGGGGGGTGTAGCCGGACCCGAGCGGCGGTGCCGCGCCCCCGGGGGCTCTTTCTTGTGGCCGCCGGGCTCCATAACCGACGCCGCGGTCCGAGTGCCAGGGCCATGGTGCGGGATGTGGTGCTGCCCGGACCCG